GAGGTCGTACTGGAGACGGATGGACCCTGTAATCCAATATGACTGGCGTGCATATAAGAAGACACAGAAATGCAGGGAGAATGCCGTATGAAGGTGGATGCAGAGACAGGAGGCACATACTTGCAAGATGAGGAGAACCGGAGGTGGCCACCAAGCCACGAGAAGCTAGGAAGAGACAAGGAAGGATTTCCCTAAAGATTTCAGAGGGAACGTGGTTTCGCTGACTCCTTGGGTTTGGGCTTCTGGCCTCCAGAACTGTGAGATGATTAATTTCTGTTTTAAGCACCCAGTTTACGGTGCTTCGGTATGGCAGCCCCAGGAAACTAATGCACCAGCTTTACCTTCTGTGCACCTTTGAGGCCCCTCTCCTGGGATCCAGGCCACGCATATACTGCCGCCTGATGGTACTTATTCCCGCAACCTGTGACACCCTTGGTGTCTCCTGGTGAATCCAGCACATCCCCAGTTAGTTCTGTAGGTATTTGGCCCTTATTAATGGTCCTGAGGAGGATGAACATTGTTGTGGCAGGATTAAAAACACCCGGCCACCCAAGATAGCCATGTCCTAATTCTTGAAACTTGTGAATGTGACCCTATTTAGAAAAAAAGTCTTTGCAGACGTGATTAAGTTAAGATCTTCAGATGAGGGAATTATCCTGGATGATCTGTGATGCCCCAAATGCAAGCACATGGATCCTCATAAGAGGGAGGCGGAAGAGACGTGACACACACAGAAGAGAATGTGATGTGAAGATGAGCAGAGTGAGATCCGGATGCTGAAGTTCAGCCCTGCTGGAACCTTGAGTTCAGCCCAGTGGTACTGAGTTTGGACATTTGACCTTTAGAACTGGGACAGAATGAACCGCTGTCATTTAAGCCAGGAAGTTTGTGGTAGGTTGCTAAAGCAGCCACTGGAAATTGGTGCCGTTGGCTGGCAAGACTTTGTCTCATTAGAGGTCTTTGCATGTTCTTCAAGCTTCTCTCTGCATCTCAGAATCCCCACCTCAGGTCTCCCAGTCCCACAGTTTAGGGGACTTGCAGGCTGGGTATTCAACCTCTCTTGAAGCCCCACCCCTCTTAGGAAGATCTGAGTCTGGCTTCCACTTCATCCCCTGCCACAGTGGACTCTGGCTTTCAAGGTCTGCCTTGCACGGGGTTTCAGCAACAGCCGTCCGATTCCACAGTCATTGTTTTATCGCCCTCACATCACTGCAGCTCCAGGGACGTTGCCCTGTCCAGGCTTCCTTCACCAGTAACTCATCTCTGTTCGCTTCAGGTGGGGAAGTTACCTATTGTACCACTAAGCATTGTAGGGCTGTCTACACTCCTGCCACCAAGAATGGGGTTCCCATTGCTCAGCCAATCAGCAAGTGACTCCATTTCAAAAGCCCATCTCACAGTCCTCTTGCTAGGACTACTTTAGGTACAAATGGCATTGGACTAGATTTCTCTGTCTGACTTATTTTCCCTAAGCATAATGTCCTCAAGGTTCATCCATGTTGTCACAAATGCCTAGATCTCCTTCTTTTATGGGGCTGAATAATATTCCATGGTTATCTGTAGAACATTTTCTTTATCCGTTAATCAATTGATGGACACTTAGGTGGCTTCCGAGTCTTGGCTGCTGCACCTAATGCTAAATAAATATGGGGGTGCAGATATCTTCTTGAGTTAGTGATTTCATTTCCTTTGGGTGAATACCCAGAAGTGAAATTGCTGGATCATTAGGAAGGTCTATTTTTAATTTTTTGAGGAACCTCCTTGATATTTTCCATTCTGTTTTTTAAAAGGAGCCCCTAAATTGTGTGAGCATCAAGCCGCACTAATCCTGGATCTGAACCCACAGAAGAAAACAACTCAAACCGGTCAGTCACTGCTGAGTAGAGTTCGCATAAAGGCTGAGCTGCTATAGCAAAGAGCAAATCTGTTCCAAACCAGCAAATTCAACCACAGAAGTGGAGTCGTCTGTCCCCTCCATCCCCAGGGGAGGGTCCAGTTGGCAGGATAGCTCTATTCACCCCCGGGCCCAGCCTTCTGCCCTGCAGTTCCCTGGGACAGGCATTCTCAACCGCTTTCAGGCACTGGACCTTGCGACAGCCGTGCAAGCCTCCTCAGAATAAAAGAAAATACACAAGATGAAGAAATCCATTTTTTTTATTGTAATGCAGTTATCAAAATATTTTTAAAACCTGTGACATAGCAATTTATGTGCTTCCACACCAAAGCATTACAGAAAAAGTCACTTGTGGCAGCTTTAATAGTTACTGTAATTTAAAAAGTAGAGACCAGCACAAATGATATTTCAAGATAACTGCTAGAAAATAACAATATGAAAATATCTGTGATTTCTTTAGGTGACAAAGTCACAAGTCCTGCTAACACTACTGTGGTCTGTTGCCTACATTTGGAACAGACATGGGGTAGGCTGACTAATGGCCCCTAGAAATGTCCCTAGTCCCTGGAACCTGTAACTATGTCCCTTTACACGGTAAAAGAGACTTTGCAGATATGATTAAGTTAAGGGTACTGATATGGGAAGCTATGCTGGGTTGCCCAGTTGGGCCTAGTGTAATCACAGCCACCCTTACAAGAGGGAGGTGGGAGGGTCGGAGTCAGCAGGGGTGTGTGACACCGGAAGCAGGAGACTGGAGAGACATGAGGAAGGTAACATGAGCCAGCCACTGCAGGTGACAGCTAGTAACAGAAAAAGGCCAAGAAACAGATTTCCTATGAAGTTTCCAGAAGGAACCTGCCCTGCCAACACCTTGGTTTTAGACTTCTGACCTCCAGAATTGTGGAGGGTTTTTGTTTTGTTCTTTCAGTTAAGTAATTTAAAAAATTTTAATTGTGAAAAATGCACCGGAAACTTATCATCTTAACTATTTTTTTAGCATATGTCTCGGGAGTGTTAAAGTATATTCGCACTGTTGTGCAACTGATCTCCAAAGTTGTTTCATCCAGGACAATGGAAACTCTGTGCCCATTAAACAACAACGCTCCCCTGCTCCCCCCAGCTCCCGGCAACCACTTTTCTACTTTCTGTCTCTATGAATTTGCTGGCTCAAGATACCTCATATTACCGGAATCAGACAGAATTTGTCTTTTTGTAACTGGCATAGTTCACTCAGCATAATGTCCTCCAGGTTCATCCATGTAACAGTGTAGGAATTCCTTTCCTTTTTAAAGCTGAATTATATTCCATTACATGCATATACCACATTTTGTTTATCCAGTCATCAGGTGATGAAATATTTGTGTGGTTTTAAGTCACTAAGTCTGTGATTTGTTACAACAGCAGTAAGAAACTAAAAAGGAAGGAAATATCCATTTTCAGATACACGTTAGTGAAAATAAAGGTTTTCTTCTGCCTTTCCAAATTCACAGGCCCTGCCTGATCTTACGCCAGGTTAGGACCCCCCACCCTAGGCACTGTCCGCATCTTCAGAGCGATGGAATCTGGCCCTCAGATGTGTTCAGGTTCTGGGTGGTGGGAAGCGGGGAGACAGCAGGACTAGCTGCCTGTCTAAATCCTATATTTTGGAGAAACTGTAATCACATGGCCACACCTGGTAGAGAGGGTGTAAGAAATGTAGTCCTGACTTTGATGGCCCCTGCCAGCCTCCATCTTTGAGGAAGGAGCAGTGAGAGGATTTGGGGGGATGTGGTAAAGCCAGCCCCCTGGTCCCCTCAGGGGACTGCCAGGGTGGGAGGAGTCAGGTGACAGCAGAGCCATGTTTCCTCAATAAACTCAGCGCCTCTCAGGCTAGGAAGAGCAGGGGTTAAGTCCTGGGTACCAGCCAGAGCTGTCTGCCCTTGGTGTGCATCTGCTGTGTAAACCTGGCAAGTCTCTCAACCTCTCTGAGCATCAGTTTCCTCACTGTCAAGGTAGGAGAAAGCAGAAGAGTTCGAATTCACTTCTCTGGCGTGGGAAGCCTCCAAGACAGAGAGGTGTCAGGGAGGGAACCTCTCCACTGTGCTCACTTAGCACTGGCTGTTCCCACTGTCTGAGATGCTGTTCCTCCAGATGTCCTCATGGTTCCCTTCCTCCCTCCTTCAGGTCTTCAGTCACATGTCACCTTCTCCAACTGTCTTGTAGGGTTCAACCCCCTTCTTTGCACCCCGACTCCATCTCCAGCTTAATCTTTCTCTTAATAGTGTCAGCACTTCTTAATAGCTGACATCATATATATTTAACTTATTTTTTGTTATTGTTTGGCCCTCCCACTGGAACATCAGCTCCATGAGGGGCAGGGGGCTTGTGTTTTGCCCACCACTGGATCCTCAGTGCCTAGAACAGTGCTGGCCTACAGTAACTAATCGGGAAATACATTCCTGAATCAATGACTGACTGATTAATTGAATGAAGGAAGGAAGGAATGGGTTAGTCACAATCAGTGGGTTCCTTTGAAGACCTCAGCTGAATCTGAAATCCTGAGCAGACACTTTCTTTTCTGTCTGGTGTTGGTGTCAGTGTGGAGGGCCCATGAGACTGATCCTGTATACTCTACTGTCCGGTCTTCACTGACCTTCCCTTCCCACCTGTAACTCCCTTTCATCCAACAACAAATGCCACGGTGTATTTCTTTCCTACAGATATGCATAACTGTAACTATATTATACACAGCAGTAATAGCAGTGTAACTTCATTCGGGTACTGGACCCGATTCCAATGTGTGTAAGTATCGGGGAGGGGGGTCTTCCCACACATACTTACATTAAGCAATTCTTGAACACCAGCAGGGGGTTGGAGAACTCAACTCAATTCTGATGCCATCTGCCCGGAGAAAGCATCATATTCCCAGGTTAAGGGCTCTGTCCTAGAAGACGGCCCTCCACCCACCACTCCAGAGGTGGTCGCAAACCCCAGGCAGTTCCTTGTGCTTCTGAACTGCCGGCTACAGGTTGGAGGTTCCCGCAGCCTCCCCCTTAGGTTCGGTTAATTTGCTAGAGCGGCTCACGGAACTCAGGAAAACACAGTAACCAGTCTGATAAAGGACGCCATGAAGGATGCAAGTAAGCAGCCAGATGAAGAGGTGCACAAGGCAGGGTCCCAGATAAAGGAGCTTCTGTCCTATGGAGCTTGGGGCCTGGTGCGGTGGCAAGTGGAGGGGATCTGGGTCCCAAAGTGTGAACCTCCGAGATGCAGATCCACCGGAGCAGAGGAGGCAGAGCAGAGAGAGTGGAGGGGAGGGATGGGAGGGACGGGAGGGAGGGATAGGGAGGGGAGGGCCCTTGTCCCTTAGGTTGTGAGGGCCTCACTCTGTACTCATGATCGAGCACATTATTGGCCATTGGCTGATGGAGCCCCCAGTCTTGGTTGGAGTCCAAAGTCTCTCATTAACATCACAAAACACCTGTTTCACCTTTAAGATTCCAGTTTTCAGGAGCTGTGGATGAAGACCAAATACACCTGGGAAATCCGTAGTTGGGCATGGGAATGAGCAAATATGTCCTCTTATACCTCATCACATGAGCCCCCCTCACAGCGCCCTCTCCTGGGACGTCCCCCGGCTCTGGCAGCCTCCCTCTGGCGGCCTGCACCCCTTCCAGGGAACCCCTCCCGGGGCTGCCCTCACCGTCTGCTGCCCCACGTGCCTTCGGGCGGCCTGCAGAGCCTTGACTTCCCGCCCCCGCCCCGCCCCACTGGTCACCTGCGCCCCTTCCCTGGGGTGCTGACACAGGGATTCCCGAGGGATTCCTCCTTCTGGAGGCCACCTTCCCATGTCGGTCTCCCTTTTCCAGACCCCCCTGGCTCGGCGGCCCACGGCCCCCCTGCCCCCAGCCTCCCCAGCGTAGAGCCTCGGCGCCCCCCTCCGGCTGTGCTCTGCGCCGGCGCCCACTGCCCGTCCGTCCAGGCTGAACATGGAGCTGAGGCAAGACTTGTATCCCAGGCGGAGGTGGAAGTACAGAGACACAGTTGGGGCACAGAGTATTGGGCGGAGACCCAGAGGGGAGACTGAGGCCAGAGATGCAGACAAGAGTGAAGGAGACTTTAGGCAAAAGCGCTAAGGGCGGCTGCCATCTCCTCCTTTCGGTGAAAGGGGGTCAGGAGCCCAGAACAAAGCTGGGTGAGGGGCCTTAAGGGAGAGAGGGGTGCCTCTGTGAGCCTCCTCTCCAGCTCTCCTGCTGTGGGCTGACCTCTGGCCTTGCCCTCCAGGAGGGATTGCTCTCCCTGGAGACCTGGAACTGCCACCCATGCCTCTTCCCCAGGACCTGGGACCTGCAGAGCTGCAGGGGAGTGGGGAGAGTCACGCCCACCCCTGCCCTCACCTGGCTGCTCCTCTGGCTCCCTAGGAGGCTCCTGGCCTTCTTCTTCCCCTTCTCACTTCACCCCCTCTCTCTGCCTTCCCCACCAGCCCCCACCACTCCCACCCTGACCACATGGGCTGTGCCCCCTCCCCGACCTTCACCTTCACCTCTCCGTTCTCTGTCCTTCTGACCTGCTCTTTCTCATGAGCAGCTCTCACCTGTCTTCTGTCTCCCCTCCGCAGATGTGGGAGTGCCCTGTAGCCTTGCAGGCTGAGCTGGCCCGATGCTGAAGGTCCTGGGGACCACGGCTGACTCATCCCTGGGTGACATCCTGGACCAGCCCCTTTGCACACTGTGCCGTATCTCCTTGGGGCTCCAGGCCTCTGTGAGTGCTGGAGGCACCCGGCCATGTCTGTGGGTCCTGAGCATGTAGGACCCCATCCCTCTGTTCTAGGCCCTACCTCGCACACCACCCTCCTCTGCTCTCAAGTCCCTGCTCAGCCCACAGGAGGCCCCCAACCTCGGGGCTGCCTCCCCCACTGGCCGCACCAGCTCCGGGAGGCCCTGAAAAAGATGAGTGACTGAGAAGCGACCAGTTGTCTGGAAACAACTGGGAGCCAGATGATGGGCAGCCACTGACCCATCCCCATAGAAGTCCCTTGGCTGCCTTGCCTTGAAGCCTCTGTCAGGTTCAACCTTTTCTGCCTCCTCAACTGGGACCTGAAATGTGTCACCAGTGGAGACCTGTGTGTCTGATCCCCAAGACCCACCTGTAGCCTATCCCAGCACCTTAGATATTATTTATGTCCAACTATCTCCCACAGATTATTTCTTACAGATCCCTATTTGTTCATGAAGTCCCCAGAAGACATTCATTCTTGTGCTTTTTTTTTTTGAGAGGGTATCTCTCATATTTATTGATCAAATGGTTGTTAACAACAATAAAATTCTGTATAGGGGACTCAATGCTCAATGCACAATCATTAATCCACCCCAAGCCTAATTCATTCTTGTGCTTTTTGTACAATGTATGAAAAAAAAAATTTGTCTGTGACGCAGATCTGTTCATGTGTGACTGTATAAATGACTGCACAACTGCATGTGTGACTATGGCCTCTGAATATGTGTGTGGGGCAGGGAACAGGGAGAGAGGGAACGAGAGAATATGAAAGAAGAAATGAGGAATGAAAGGGTCATTAAGAATGCTTTCAACTACAAGTTAATGGAAACTTCCCTGGCAAGTGACCTACACATCATAAGTAGTCACTATGCCAAGCAGTGAGATGTCTAGAGGGGGTCTGTGGCTGGTCAGATCAGTGGGACAAGTTTTACCATGAACCTCCTATTTCTCAGGATATGTGTCAAACTTGTGTTTGTGTTTTATTCCCCTGAACCTCCTGTGATTCTAACCCTGCAGTGACTATTGTCAGGGTGGAGATCTCTTGGGAGGAATGTCACCAAAAAGTCATTTAAGTTCCATTGTGGGCATTGTTGTATGTAGACAACTGGATCATTTGCAAACAGTTTTATTTCTTTGTTTCTGATCTATATGCATTTTATTTCTTTTTATTGCCTTACTGCACTGGATAGAAGTGCAGTATGATGTTGTATAAGATTAGTGAGAAAGGGCATCTTTACCTTCTTGCTGAACTTAAGGAAAGCATTCAGTCTCTCACCATTCACTGTAATGTCAGTTGTAGGTTTTTTTTGTGGATGATCTTTATCAAGTTGAAGAAGTTCCTCTCCATTTCTATTTTTCTAAGTTTTAAAAAATCATGAATGGATATTGAAGTTCGGCAAACGCTTTTTCTGCATTGACTGATATGATCATGCAGTGTTTCTTCCTCAGCTTGTTTTGGTGGATAATATTGATTAGTTTTCAAGTATTGAACCAGCTTACATCCAATGTATAATCCAATTATACATTGGATTATGTATGATTCTTTTGATCTATTGTTGAGTTCTATAATCTAATATTTTATTAGGGATTTTCATGCTTATATTCATTACTTATTTTTGGGTGGGAAAACAGATTCACTGCATTTTTAAGCCAGCGAGTTAAGACTTTCTATTACTTGCAGCCAAAAACATCCTTAATGATACCCGTGAAATGAAAGGTGAATTTCCCTTAAAACTGAAGAATTCCGGCTGCATGGGATTGTTCTGTCTGCACTATTCCCGAGGACTGTCATTGGTATGAAGCTGCAACATATCCCTGTACTCAGTATCCTTGGGGGTGGGGAATGGGCTGCAATTTTCTGCCTACCCCCATCTCTGTGACATCACTTTTTCTTCAAACCTCAATTTCTTGAAAGTTCCACTCCAGCTCTTTCCAGTCTTCTCTGCTTCCTCATATCCACTACTCCGTTATGTCTCCTCTCTCTCCAAATGAATAGCTTTGCCCTCTACTTCACAGAAGCTACCAGGTAGAAATTCCTCACCATCTACGCCAGTCTCCTACCTGCCCCCACACTGCCCCGTCACCTTGGATGATCTGCCTTTGGGTCTGACTTGGGCCAGTGCCTGATCCTGGCCCCTCCTATCTAATTCCTCCATACATTTCCCCTCCCTTACCTATTTTTCAAAAATTCCTTTCTACAAATACATGCCCATCAGCAGTCTCCCCTTTCACTAAATCTCTTTCTAAATCCATGCTCTTCTCTCTAACCATTTTCCCATCTCTCCTTTTGACTGGTCCCCTTCCTTACCTGTTCCAGGCTCCATAGCTCCTACAACTGGCTTCTTTACCCAGAGCTCCACTCAACACCAACAATTTCTTCATAGCTAAATCTTGTGATTTCTTTTCCATTCTCCCAGGTTTCTTTCATCTGGGACCTTGGTGGATGCCTGTTAACTTCTTCAGCCGTTATAGCTTGTTGGCGTTTTTTTCTTTTATTTCTTTTTTTCCTACTGTGTATTAAATGCAAATATGTTTATCAGGATTTTCCCCTCTTAAATAATGGAAAACCCCAACTCAACTCGTTTACAATATCGGGAATTTGTAATCTCACATAATCGGAGATCTGGTATGTCAGAAGTTGACTGATTCAGGCAATCATACTATTGTTATCAACAATCCAGATTCTTCCCATCTTTCAGAAGACCTGTCGGCAGTATCTAACCCATTCCTCACCAATTCCTTCTTGTAACTGTCTTCCACTTGGACTTTTGTGAGTCACACTCTCATTGTCTTCCTTCAACTTCTGGCTGCTTCTTAGTCACATATTTTCCCACTTCTTAGATTCTAGAGTTTCTCAGGGTCCTATCCTGAACTCTTGTCTCTCTTCCTGCTTTACACTCTCTCTGAGGTTCTCTCTTCCATCCCTGTGGATTCACCAAGAACCTTTTCACTGATTACTGTTGTATCAGTCAGCTGAGGCTGAGTTATGCTGTAGTAACAAATTATTCTCAAGCTTCAGTGGCTCATAACAGTAAAGATTTATTGCTCACTCATGCAACATGACCATCTTGGGTAGGCTGAATCTCAGCTCCTCACTGGGATCAGGATGAAGGTGCAGCCCTATCCAGGATATTGCTTGTCTTACAATAGAGAGATAAGCGTACATGGTGGACTATGCCTGGCTCTTAGAGCATCCAAGCAGAAACGATGCACACCACTTCACTTCCACCCCCATTTCATTGGCCAAGACAAGTGGCATAGTAAAGGCTGAGGTCAAAAGGGCAGAGACTTATAATTTCCCTCAAGAAAGAAGAAAACAGTTTGAATGATAAGGTAGTCAACACATTCTAAATTTGTGTTTCCAACTCTGATTTCAAGGACAAGGACAAATTAGCTTTATCCTTGTGCATAGAAACTAGCTCAAATTCAAATCCAAACTGGACCACCTGAAAGCCAATAGCAACAAAAACTCTGATCCTAGAGTTTCCCTTGCCATCTTCTGAACAATGATCCATAAAAAGGGATTTTTTTTTAATGGAAATCCCGTAAGAAGAGCTAGTCTATGGTGCTGCGAAGGCAGCACCAAAGGGCTGCTCTCCGTGGTTCTGAACACCACTGTCGGCTAAAGCAGAGTGGTTTCTTTTGTCCCTGGGACCGTGGTGGATGGATGTCCATTAACTTCTTCTGCACTTATAGGTTGCTGGGTTTTTTAATTTTTTAATTAAATATTGTCACATCACATACGGTTGTAGAACAAATAGAACTGTCCTATTGCATATTAAATGCAAATATATTTGTCAGACCTTTTTTTAACTTAAATAATGGAACACCCCAACTCAACTTGCTTAAAGAATAAAGAATCAGTAATTTATAATCTCATATAACCAAAAATTTGATAGATCCATGAGTTGGCTAATTCAGGAAATCCCACTGTTGTTATCAATAATCCAGATTCTTCCCATCTGTCAGATTTTCCGTCGTCCTCATTAGAGCTCTTCATGCTTACACGGTTGTACAGTTACAGACATTACATCCTCTTGGCAATGTCCAGAGGAAGAAAAGGGACTGCATCTTACCATGTGTTTTTCTTGTCACTGAGGAAAACCTTTCCCAGGAACTCCCTAGCAGACTTCTCTTCCAAGCCCATTAGAATTTGCAAAGCTCCAAGTGTACCTGAGATCCCTCACCTTGCTCTGCTTTGTCCCCCCATAGTACACATCACCTTCTAACATACCATAAATTTGTTCATTTATTATGTTGTTGTTTGTTACCTCTCTCTCTGCTAGACTATAAACTCTACCAAGGCAGAGATTCTTGTCTGTTTTGTTCACCTCTGTGTTCTCAGCACCCAAAAGAGTGGGTGACACATAGTAGTTGTTCAGCCAATATTTATTGAAAGAATGAATGACTGTCACATTGGCCAGAACTGTGTTACATGCCTCAGCCTAAAAATTTCACTGGAAAGGGATATAAGACAACTAGGACTGGCTCAGGCCACAGATGGTCTGCTTCATGTAGTAGGGCTGAGGCCCACTTCCTCTGAAGGCTCAGGGCACAGCAAAAAGACAGATTTCTGATCAAAACTGATGACTTCTAATACCCATTTCATATTGTATTCTTTCTCTTTAAGCCTCCCAATCCTCCTGCCCCATCCTCACAGTAACACATGGCTTTGCTTCCTCTGCTGAAAATATAGAAGCAACTAAAGAGAAACCCCACATGCTTCCACTACATCTACTTACCTGCCACCATCTGGCGTAGATACTTTGCTGTCCTTCTTCCTAAGTCCAATTTCTCTGCTTAAAGAGAGAGAGAGAGACAGAGAGAAAAACAGAGTGACAGAGACAGAGACAAAGATATTGAGAGAGAGAAATTTGTTATGAGGAACTGGTTCATGCAATTATAGAAGCTGAGAAGTCCCACGATCTTCAGCTGACAAACTGGAGACCCAGAAGAGCCTATGTGTAATTCCAGCCTATGTCCAGAGGCCTGAGATCCGGGTGAGCCTGTGGGGTAAGTTCTAGTCCAAAGGCCAGGAAGCTCAGGATCCAAGAAACCAATGCTTCAGTTTGCATCTGAAGGCTGGAAAGGACTGATGTCCTAGCTCAAAGCAGCCAGGCAGATGGAGCTCCCTTTTATCAGCCTTTTTCTTCTAGTCAGGTCTTCAGTTGGGTGGATAAGACCCACCCACACTAAGGAGGGCAATGTACTTTACTCAGTCTACCAATCCAAATGTTAATCTCATCCATAAATCCTCATAGACACACTTAGAATAATGTTTGACCAAATGTCTGGCTACCCCTGTCACCCAATCAAGTCGACACATAAAAATGATCATCAACACCCCCTTTTCAGC